AAAAACACACAACGGAGAGCGAATCAGAATATTCGACGTGATTCTGTATTCTCCGGACAAATGGGCTCCCCTGTAAAGGGATCAAATTTGTACGGTTCACCGGTAAACGGGTCGAACATAATCTGAGGTTGAACCAAATTCAAACCAGGTTCTTTCGAGACCTGCCTCGACTCATACGGATAAAGACTTCTTTCTTCAAGTGTATGTTTGTGTATTTTGGGGAGTGGACTTCGATCGGACTCAACTGGTGAAGGGTATTTTGGGAAATCATGCTTGTCCACGTGGCCTGTTGGAGCTCGGTTTAGCAAAGGAAGACTCGAGTGTGGCGATGAATAGCTCGTGGCATAAATGTCGGGCCTGCATGATACAAAAAGTCGAGTTTTTGTTGTAGAAAAAATGGATTGATTCCAACAGACTCATCAAACTTGAAAAATCTGAAAAGAAGTTCAGAACTATCCCAATAGATACTATTTTTCCAACATTTATCCATTCCCATAGGTAGTAACATATTTCATAGATCTCCCTTCAAATCTATAAAATCATTCACTGAAGGTATTTTTTTTTTTTTTTTCAATTTTTGACAGTTCTCATTTTGTTGCTAGATGAAAGAAACATCAAGGGACCTCTCTGTAATATACTATCCTACAAAATTGCAAATGCCACCCGACTCAGTATCAAAATTTTAGTGTCTTTTCGAGTCATTATCAGAAACACTGAGAGCCAGAAAAAACAAACCTAGCTGCAGTTGAGTGTGGAGACACTTGATGCGAGATTCTGAAAAGACTCGACTCATTCCTTGTATTTTCGGCAACTACTCTCGAGAAAGTGTCCAGGCTCTGGTTCGACCTCGATTTGTCGACCAGATACTACAATGGATAAAATTGTTTAATGAAAAATGAGATTCAGAATGAAAAACAAGCACTTGTTAGCAATAAGGGTTGTGAGTTACATACTCTAGAAATCAACCCGTCTAAATATTCTCCCTTATTCGGCAAAGAAGCTCCAGATAACATGAACTGCCAAAAAACGAATAAATCATTGAAATGTTAAAGACTCGGTGTTGAATGCATTATATTATAGTATAAAATCAAAAGTAACAAATTATATCTGACAGAACCTGATCAAGAACAGATATAGCGTTAGGCTCGGGTATTTCACTAAGGCTGCATAAACTTCTGACATCAATCTGTTANAATGTAACACGCAAACTCAACTTAGCCTTGAACCATCGGTTAAAATGTAAGCAATCCACCAAATAATCATTCTACTCTATCCCAAGTGTAGATAAGATGTTTTGTTCTAACTTCTAAAATTTCTTCACTTGGAAGCTACCAAGATAACAAATTATCAAAGTTCAACCTCAACGAGTTCGTGAAAAGTATAAAGAAACAATAGCATTTAGGTATTCACATTGTAAGATAATATAAAAATAGAGGAAACGACATTAGATAGAAAAAAGAAAAAAGAAAAAAGGTGCAGTTAATCAGTGAAGAAAAACAAGTTTTTACACTACAATCAATGCAATAGCTTTCTACTTACTCTTGCACATTACTACTAGAAATACGAGTCGTAAGCTTCGTTTGGTAGGACGAGCTTTTTAAATAAGCTTCATTTGTATTCAAATAAGCTTTGTTTGGTAGGACGAGCTTTTTAAAAAAACTCGAGCTTTTCTCGTAAGCTTCTTTGGTAGCTTTTCAAATAAACTCGTTGACATTTTTATTTCAGCTAGCTTTTCAACTATAAGCTCGAAAATCACTTATAGCTAGCTTATGAGCTAGTTTTACCAAACATAGCCTACATAATTTCATACAAACACCAGTTTGGTAATATTTTCGGAACTTACATCAAAACGAGTTGCAATTCCAAGTCGTAGGATTCGAAGCAAACGCTCTTTAACAGCTAAAGGTAATGCTATTACGGCCTCCTCGTAAGGGTCAGCAGGTTCAATTTCCTATTAAAGATCAGATAATGAAGGAAAAGCCAGGTTGTAATTGCAAATATTAAAATATTAAAAAATTTGGGGTAAAATAACAGAAATACGGTGCCAGAATATTTACTCTCTGGACCAGAGAACTATGAATATCGGGTTTTGAGTGTTTAGGATGATCCTGAACGGAAGTACATTCAGAATTCTCAAGAACTCGCTTCTTGTTATTGTCCATAGGTCTTGCAATTTCAACCTGTTTGCAGACAATAATGGAAGATATTCAGTTAAAAACTCTTGTTAAATTATGGCTGTCTTGTAGTAATTCAACACTTCAGGAAAAAAAATAAAAATAAAAATTGGGGGTCGTTAAATACAGACTTAAAGCTTCTAGAACAATCCTACCTGGAGTTTATACACTGGGCCTCCACTAGGTCCTTGGACTGTCTTCTCATTCAGTTCCTTGATGGCCCTTTCAAGATCCTACACCAACAACAGTAAAAAACTAAAGAAAGGAACTAAACTAACAAGTCATAAATTCGGTCACAAGAAAATGAAAAAGATTTTGTTTGATCCATGTCTTTGCAATTTAGATGATATAANACTTAAAAAAAAAAAAAAGCAAATGTAAACCAACTTACCGATCTCTCCATAAAATGAACAAACCCAACAGCGGAGCTACCGTTTTTCGACACCACTACTTTCTCAATCTGGAAATAAAGATAGTATCAGAATTAAATGATAAAAAAATATCGAACATAACATTTACGGAACAACAAATACAAGTGAAAATAAATATGTTGGACCTTGCCATATGGCTCAAACAGTTGCTTCAAATAGTACTCTTCTGCATTAACAGGTAGATATCTGACAAATGCTACTTTTATCTGGAGAAGAAAGAAAAAGGAGAAAAACATTATCACAAGTACTCTACAAGATATTACGATGCAAAGTACAATGATTATAAACCTTAGCATGTTCATTCGGGTCAATTTCATTTTCTTCTTCTGCCCACTGAACATCTGGGTGCAAATTCCCAAGACGAAAATCTGGTTGAGAACACACCCGATGAGCTCGTCTGGCGGCCTGTGATTGAGAATTTTGAAGTAGGCGTGTTCAATTTTCTGTAAGAGATAATTTGATTACATATTTTTATGATCCTCTGCGTTAATTTAGAATACATGATTGTAAACTTATTGTGCAAGATTTTGTGTTAAGAGTGTGACACAAATCTGTCAGCAGGCCGGTATTGGATTGTAACACTTATATACTAAATGCAATAAAAAAACAACGATAATCAACTTATATCATAAGTTCAAAAATATACTAAACCAAAAGATTATAAGTTACAGGGAAGAATAACATCGTAAACATTAAAAACCATGAATACAGCCAAATTGTGGAGTAAAATGAGTTTACTAGACCAAGATTATGTGATTGTAATCAATATTTTCGTTAATGAATAATATATTGATTCAGATGGATGCAGAGGCTTCATGATAAACATCCTGGTATTTTATCATTGTTATGTAAATTGGAGGATAATAGTAATTTCAGGATGAAACAGAGAGGTGAAGGATTATATTTTAATAACATAAATTTTTACCAAACTTGTTGTAATAGTGGAGAACAGCATTTAATTTGAAGAGTTCCTCAAATAACAAAGGGAAAACAAATAAAGTGAAGTATTTCGAAAAGACACGTCTCCACAATGTAGACACGTTCAATTGGAGATCTATGAATGGGCAAAACAGAGGACTGAATGTCCAAATCACTAAAGCTATTCTGAGACGAGACAGAAAAGGAAAGAGAGCAACAATTGTTTAAGACTACTAACAGAAACGCACGAAAGAAAGCAAATGTAACTTACAGGATGGGAGATAAATTTCACAAATGCAAAACCACGATTCACTTGCTTTTGACCTGCTAGCGTGCCTTTAAGCATTGGAAGCTCAATGGTTTCAATGCCGGGGAAAACCTGCAGCACAAGAAATATAAATAAAGGGATACACACAGACAAACATTCACACGAGATGAAACTTAATATTGAATTTCGATATTAACACAAAAAACAGAAGTAAATTATACCTCAAGTACCATTCTTTCAAATTCTTCAGCACTCCATGCTGAGAAATGGAGAAAAAATCAATGTCGTGAATGTAGGACACCAAGTAAGCTGGCA